CCCTGGCTTCCACTCACCCAGCAGCACTAGCCTCAGGGTGAGTCTCAGGAGGCAGAGCACGCCGCTCTCCATCTTCAGCCTGAAGAGAAAAGGGAAAAGTCAGGAAACAGTTTCAAGAGACATTTACTCACGGCACCCCCCACAGCGAGACCCCCGGCGCCCCGCCAGACTCTGGGCGCAGCGCGGAGTGGGGACAGGGAGACAGCGGGCACACAGTGGGGAAGTCGTAAAAGGAAATGTGGACTCTGGACCCTCTGCAGAGAATTACTTAGAAAGAAATCAAAATGAGCTCCAAAAACAGTCTGGCATTTTCCTGTCAGGAAGAACTGAGCAAGTCTGCGTGTGGGTGACGCTGTATGAGGGACTGTGATTTCGCATGGAGCATGCTGTGTGCAGGTAAAATGAGGTTGGTAGGAAGGCAAGAGCGGCAGCCTAAGCAAAGGGAAGCTTAGAGCTGCCGGGTAACCTCTGTAGAGAAATGGCTGAGGAAAAGGAGACTTTCTAAGGGGGAAGCTCCCCGCCCGGGCACAAACCCACCAGCCAGTAACACAGGGCAGCCCCTGGGAAATGGCTGCAGAACTCCTGAAATTAACGTGACCACCTTTAAACCGATGAGGGCCGCCCAGGCCTTAGAGCAGGGAGATTCTGTAGCCGGGTGCGGGATCACTCAGCTCGATGGCACAGAAGCCACAGGAAGGAACGCCTTCCGCTTTCTCTGTGAAGCCTCCTCAGACAGGGCCGCCTGCGCAGAACGAGAGCTGGGCAGCCCTGGCCGGTGTGGCTCAGCTGGTTGGAGCATCATCCCATAGATGTTTCTCTCTCACATCGCTGTTTCTCTCTCTAAAATCCATAAACAGCCCTTGCCAGTATGGCTCAGTGGATAGAACATTGGCAAGGGTCTCGGGTTCGATTCTGGTCAAGGGCACATACCTCGGTGGCAGGCTTTTCCCTGGCCCGGACTCTGGTTGGGGCTCCTGCAGGAGGCAACCAATCGGTGTGTTTCTCTCACATGGATGTTCTCTCTCTCTCTCTTTCCCTCTCTCTTCCACTCTCTCTAAAAACCAATGGAAAACTATCCTCAGGTGAGGATTTAAAAAAAAGATCTAAAACAGTCCTTACCTGTATTCTAATCAGCCACAGCTCCACAAGGAGCACCAGGGTCAAACTGTCCAAGAAGGTCCGACCTGGTCCCAACTCCGAGGAGAAGTCAGGTGAAACCCTGAACCCCGATCCTCACCTATCACACTGGCTGCTAATGCAGGGACCAGCGCTGATAAAGTCATTGTGCTTTGAAGAAGATAACGCATAACCACAGAAGATCCTATTCTTTCTAACCTGAAAGGCAATAGTCTGTAGCTTTCAGGGGAGAGGATGGGGTTAGGCAGCCGTGGGCAAACTACAGCCCGCGGGCCGGATCCGGCCCGTTTGAAATGAATAAAACTAAAAAAAAAAAAAAGACCGTACCCTTTTATGTAATGATGTTTACTTTGAATTTCTATTAGTTCACACAAACACTCCATCCATGCTTTTGTTCCGGCCCTCCAGTCCAGTTTAAGAACCCATTGTGGCCCTCGAGTCAAAAAGTTTGCCCACCCCTG